CACCTCCCCTCCCTCCGCGGATCCCTTTTCTACGCGTGGAGCGACGCCCCCTGGTTTTGTATCTCGGGCTGTCCCGGTTCTGTAGCGACAGGAAATAAACCGACGGCTTTTCTTCACCGAGACCCCCCCACAGCAACCCACCCCCAGCACCGGGAGGAGCAAAGTGGGGTGAGAGAACTGGAGCAAAAGCTTCGCGCGGGGCTCACGTTGCCGGGGGGGAGCAGAAAGGGAACGGAGCGGAACGTGTGTGTGTGTATGTGAGAGTAGGGGGAAGGTGCTGTGACCGACCGCTTCCGGCGGAAGTTACTGCAAGTGGCGGCGGGGCTTTGGGATCGGGCTGGGCGTGTGGATAAAGGGGGAGGAAGTGCTGGAAAGGACCACTTCCGGTGGAAGTTGGCTGCGGGGGTAGAGCTGGGGGGCTTTGGGACCGAGCTCGAGTTTCCGGGGGTAGTAGAAAAGGAACGGACGCGGGCGTGTGTGCGTTGCGGCACTTCCGGCGGAAGTTGACTGGGTGTTTAGAACAGGGCTCGAGTTTCCAAGGGGAGCACAAAGGGGACGGACCGAAGTGCGTAGGAAAGAAATAAAACGCTGGAATAACAACTTCCGACGGAAGTTTGCTGCGGGGTGGGGAACTTCCGGAAAGGGCTTGAGTTTCCGGCAGAGGGCTGCAGAAAACGAACGCAGGGCCGAAGCGTAAGCGCAACGGAAAGCTGCTCGGAAAGATCACTTCCGGTGGAAGTCCTCAGTGGGAGAGGTCGGGGGGGGGGGAGGGGGTCACGAAGTTCCGTGTAGGAGCAGAAAGCGGCGTGAGCGGGATGGATGCGGGGGAAAGACGGAGCAACGGACCACTTCCGGTTGGGAGTGGAGATACCGCCGGCTTCTGGCGGAAGCTGTTCCCGTAGTCACAGCCACATCCGGCGGAAGCCGGGGGGCACATCCGGCGGAAGTCGCCTCCGGGAGCAGCCGCCATGGCGGCGCGCAGTACGGAGAACCCGGAGCCCTCCCCTCCACCGGACGCGGACCCGGACGTGGAGCCGCTGCCGCGGGGCGCGTTCCGCTGCCGCCTGTGCCACGTGACTGCGGCCAACCGTGAGCCTTAAACCGGGGTGGGGGTCGGGGTTTGGCGTCTCGGTTCGTCGCCGTTCTGACGCCCCGCCTCGCAGGGCCCAGTTTGAAGGATCACCTCCGCGGCAAAAAACACCGGCGGCGGCGGAGCCTCCGGGCCGAGCGGCGCTCCCAGCAGCAGCGGAGCCTTTTTGTCAGCGGCTTCGCCCGCGGGACGGCGGCCGAGGATCTGAAGGAGCATTTTGCGGCCTTCGGGGAGGTGCAGGCGGTGGTGGTGGACAAGGAGAAGGTGGCGGCCCCGGTTCCTCCCCCCCGGTTCCTCCCCCCTTTTCTCGGTTTCTCCCCAAATCCTCCCCATTTTCCCCCTCTATTTTTTCATATTTCCTGCTCTATTTTTTGTCCTTCTTTTTGTCTCTTAGTTCTTACTATCGCTTTTCCTCTATTAGTTGTCACTTCTTCTTTTTCTGTTCTTAATCGTTTCTTTTCCGTTTTCTTCTCTGTTAATTATCTCTCTCTCTTTTTGGTCTCTCCTAATTATTGCTCCCCTTTTCTGCCTCTTAATTATTTCCCTTCCTTTACATTCCACTTAATTAATCCTCTTCTTTTCTCCCCCTTTAATTATTCCCCCACCCTTCACCTCCCCATTAATTATTCCCTCTGCATTATCTGCTCTCAATTATTTCCCTTTTCATCTTTAATTACCCCCCTTTAATCCTCCTTATCATTCCTCTTCTTTTCCTCTACTCCCCTCAACGTTTCCTTTTTCCCTCCCCCATTCC